GCGTGGCCATTGTTGAAGCCCCGGCCCAGGTGGAGCTGCTCTAGCCGTTGTCGACTAGTTAAAATTTTATGCAATGTTTATGAATTCGAGCCGGCGTCGAGGCCCAAAGGCGCTGCCACATAAATTCTGCTGCCGCTGCCGCTGCCGCTGCTGCTGCTGTTTGGCCAACTTTTTGGGGCTCCTTTCAAATTTACAAGTTTTAATTGAAAAAAAACACTAAGTGGGATTTGTGCAGTGCTCCACTATTGTATATATCTCACTCTCTCTCTCCCTCTCTCTTTCTACTTGCACTTGCAACTGCAGGACATTAAATCAACAAGTGACTGCGTCAGTTGCTGCCTTTGTGCCTTGGCTTGGTCTGGCCCTTGGTCTAGGTCTCCTGCTTCTGGCCTCGGTGTTGGTGTCACGTTGCGGAATCGTTGCTCGACTCTTAATTACCGGAAGTGGCCCCAACCCAAGCCACCGCTCCACCGTTTGGGGGCAGGTAACAAACTGCAATTAGTGTCTCGGCCACACCCACAGCAACAAGACCACGAAAGCTGATAGCTGACCAAGAAATTGCTTAGATATGTACTTGAAAGAGGCTCACAAGTTGCCGTGTGGCCAGAGCTCGTGTGGCCACGGCTCGTGTTGCCCCACAGCTTGTTTACAGCTTTATTTAAGCAACTTGGCTATTCACAATAATACGAAAACTTTCCACACTTTTCACTATTCAATTACTTGAGCGCACAAATGATTATCCATCGATAGGCTATATATATATGTAGGGTATGCAAGAGTCCTGCTGCTGCTGCTGCTTGTTTATGCGCCACCTTATCGAGGACAAATTGCGGCACCCCAAGATCTTGCCGCACATGTGTCGCATTCAGTTTTATGGGCAATTTCAATTATCTTCGCTGGCCGTTTAATTGCATTAATTAAACCAACACGAGATGCTTAACATTCATTACTTTCAGTGCGCGCGCATTTTATGACATCCAGCCCAGCCGGGCTCAGCAGCCCCGGCTGCATCCTTATCAGTGGCTCTTGCATCCTTTCTGCTCTGCTGCTGCATTTCCGGCGTTAATTGAATGCAGTCAAGTCCACGTGCGAGCTGTGCGAGTGCATGAAGCCAAAGAGCATACGAGTGGCTGCGACTGTGTGTGTGTGTGTGAGTGTGAGTGTGAGTGCGCGTGTGTGTGCAGTGGCAATTAACAGTGGCAGAGCCAGTGGCAGCCACTCCAACGGTTTGTCAATTATTATTATTTATTAATTGATGGTTTTCATTCGTTTTTGCTTGTTTGTCTCTTTTTTTTTATTTTTGGGGGCATAAAATATTTGATTGATATTCCAATTTATGCTCTACATTATTTAAATCGAACAATTAATCAAACACAATCAGTGGGCAACGCAAAATAAATAGCAAATCAACCACCACACACACACATATACACAAATTTTGCATATGCATCGCAAAATATCACGCATACGCCGTGGACAACAGCGAGCACAGCTCAGAGCTCAGAGCTCAAGCACAAACAATAAAATACTATAACAAAACGCATTATCAAAACAATAAACAATTGATGGCATTTTACTTAAACCAACAACAACAACAGCAACAGCAACAACAACGAGTGCGGCAGCAAATAGAAAATAGAAGCAAGCCGCAAAAAATCAATAAAGAAAAAAATAACAAAAGCAAAAACAAAGAAAGCCACAAAGAGCATCAAGAAGAAGCAAGAAACAAAACGCAGCAAATAAATAAAAATTGCTTTATTTATTAAGCATTAAACAATAAATGGGATTATTTTTATCAGCAGACCAAAGAGATGTCACAGCACAAAGGAAAACCAAACAAAACGAAGCGAAGCGAAGCGAACCTAAGAAAAGCAAAGAGCTACTTAAGCTCTGGCAGAGTACAGGAGAGAGAGAGAGAGAGAGAGAGAGAGAGGAGAGGGCAACACACACAAATAAATAAATGCAAATCATTTGCCCGCTCCCCCCATGTTGGCGAGTGTTGAGCTACTGATGGCCTCTTACGCTTAAAGCTTTAAGGACAGCGACAACAAGTCCTGGACAGACCTAATAAGTAGCTGGACACAGCCACTCGCAATTCATTTGAATTTGCTTGTTTTTTTTTTTTGTTTTCCGCTTGGTTTTTCCTGCCTCTGTCCTCCCCCGTCCCCCTCCCCTGGTTCCATCCATTTATTTCAGCAAATTTGTAACTGTCAGTTGGACCCCAGCTCCATTTGCTTGATAGGCATAGAAATCTGTATGTTCCGGCTCATTGTGGAACCGGTTCGGCTTACGCTGAACTTTGTGCGTGTAGGAAATACAGACAGACGAAAAAAAAACGTTGCCACTTGGCTGGCAAAAAGGTAGCACACAAACTTTGCCAAGTGACAAATAGATTTAAATTCGAAAATGCTTTTTGTTTGTCGCTATTTTTTCACGGCGCCAATTCAATTGGAGAGGTGGGCCCCGCCGAGGGGTCGTGTCATGCAAAGCACTATTGACGGCGGTCGTAAATCTTGGCTAAAAGTGTGGAGACGAGCGCCGCAGAGTGCGCTGCAACCCTTGTCAAGCGGAGACCTGGCCGAAAAAAGGGCCACAGGGCAGACGAGCGGGCGGGGGCGGGGGCGGCAAGCGAGCTAAAATTTGTGTGTGCTCGAGTTTGAGCCGGAAAATCAGTTAAAAGCGATTTAAAACGTGCTGTCAAGCACTCGTAAAATTGCAAATGAAGAGTGAAATATGTAGTTCTGCATGATGCCAATACACGTTCGCCAGCTTAAAAGGATAGTATATGGGATTTTCGTGTGCAAGTCGTTCGTCTTGCGGGGAGCTACCATAACTTTTACAGTTTTAGAGCTTGGCTGTAGCAGTTGGATTAAGATTGATCTGCTACTCAGTTGAATCTCTCATCTATCACTTATGTGTATATCGATTTAGATCTGTCCTTAGGCTAGTTTGTTTGTCTCTCTGTATCTAGGAATGATTTCCCTACAAAATATTAGAGCTAGAATTAGGTAAATCCTGATAGGCATAAAACTTAAATTAACTTAAATTTTAATAAAATTGATAATTCTTCGATTAATAGATTGATATAATGTACAAATAATATCTCGACTTATCTCATATCTTAACTCAGCTATTCATAATAAGAACGCCTCTACACTTTCTCGGTACGGGTATCTTTTAGTCAATCTTTTACGACTTCAGCTGTCTTCTTTATCTCTTTCTCTATCTCTCTCTCTATCTCTCGTTAAGCTCATCTGACAATATGAATTATCATTCAGGTAATTCCAGGTACTTTTTACTTTTTTTAGCAACTAATTACTATTTATATGTCTGACCTCTAAAATTATGCATAAATATTTAATTATAGATTGTTCAAAATATTTCTATTTTTACGCAGAAAAACGTTTGTTTAATTCCGCGTATTTTTCGGAGATTTATTCTTCGATTTGGTTTTTGGAAAATTCTCTGAAGTGGGAATAAAATATAAATTACTTTGAAACAATTAAACGAGGCACAAATGTTCACAGCTTGGCGCTCTGCACGTCAACCGATCGCATTTACAAATTAGCATTCTAATGAGCGGCCCTCGGGCCATGGCCCATGGCATGGCATGACAATGATGGTGCCGCCTTTTGTCTATGGGGGCCCCCACTTCCCGCGCGCCTCCTCCATTTACTGCACTGCAGTGCACAACATTTCTGGGTAACAGCAGACATGACCATTCGCTGTCTGGCGCTTTGGCCTTTGCGTGTTGGCCAATTCAAATGAGCCTCAATTGGTTGGGCTGCTCCACTGTAGCTTGCGCTATGCGAATATAGATTTATGAATGAAGCGACTGCGGCGACAACTAGGCCGACTCAGAGTACTAGCATGACACGCCCCACCCCCCCTTACTCTATGGTCCGAAAGCTGCTGTCAGCTTCAGCCTGGTAGCTGTTATAATCGAGCCGTCTTTTGCTTTTCTTAGCTCCGCAATGCAACCCAAAAAACCGGTTACAACAGCAAAGAAGCAGAGAGAACAAAAATGTGATAACAAAAAAAAATACGTAAAAAATTCTTGACTTTTGTTTCACATACATACATATACATATGTATGCACACTGCACCAAGTTTATCTTTTGGCTCTCTGGTTCTCGGCTCTGCTCTGTGCTGCTGCTGCTGCTGCTTGTTTATAAAAATTCTTTGAAATGCACACAAAGAATCTCCCACACACACAAAATTACATTCTCTCCCCCTCTCTCTTTCTCTCTCACACACACACTCTCCCGCTCTCCCTGTCGCTCGCTCTTTTTTCTCATTTTAATTTTTTATATGGCTTTTTAGTTGGCTCTGTGGCATTTTCTTCCTGCTCCGCTCGGTTGCACCCAACGCAAAAGGAACGGCTCCATCTCGCTCCCCCTGACCGACCATCTCCCTCTCCTGCTCTCTCGCTCTTTCGCTGTTGGCTAGTAGCTGGGTTTGTTTAGAGTTTTGGTCGGTGCTTTTAAACGCAGCCAGTTTTCAAGTGGAAATGGTCCAAGCATGCATGTAAAAATGCAACGTAAGCCGGCCCCTAGAGCAAAGGGAGCGCTGCACATAGGGGCCCGGCCATGGATAGGGGCAGGGACTGAAGTCGATGTTGAATGTAGAAGTTGAAGTTGGAGAGCAGAGCAGAGCAGAGCAGAGAGGCTGCCAAAGGGCAGCCCAGTGCGGTTGATGACTTGCGTTTGGCTCTCGCTTTCGGACCCGCAGAGACTGACTGACTCTGGCGCTGACTTTGACTTTGGCACTGGTTAGACTGGCTGGCTGGCTGGCTGGCTGGCTCCCTAGCTGGCCTTCTGGCTAAACTGGGTCTGGATTAGGGGCACCTGAAGCCCCTCCCCCGTCTCTGTGTTCGCTCTCGCTCTTTGACTTTCGAGTGTCGTTCGGCGTTTTCTCTGATGTTCGCCCGGTTTGCCATTGCGTTGCAGGTCGCTTAAAGCTGACGTCGAACCGTTGATATATTATTGAAAATCAAATTGTCAGTTATGCGTAATTTCCATTTTATTTAAACATCAATTTCATTGCAAGGCAGCTTAGCTCATAATGAAATAGTCGCGATCATAAATCAAATCAAATTTCGAGGAGCGAAAATTGTGTGTGAATTTCATGAATTGGGACTCTAGAACGATAAGTGTTTCAAGGACAACCTGTAGCAAAATAGTTGACATAGAAAAATACAGATATATACTAGATGTGCCGTCTTCAGATCGATATGGTGTGGAGTGCCTACCACTGGCATTGTCAGTTCAACGATATCGAGTGCTCACTTGATGTTCTTGATGAGGGCCTTGGTGTACTCCGAGCATTTCGCTTTGCCACCCAGATCGATGGTGCGCACATTGTCCTCCTTGATGGTCTTGATGACCGCACGCTCGATCTTGTCCGCGTGGGTGCCCAAGTCAATGTAGCGCAGCATCATCACGGCGGACAGCAGCAGGGCGGTCGGATTGGCCAGATCCTTGCCAGCGATGGTGGGCGCTGTGCCATGGACAGCCTCAAAGATGGCGCCATTGATGCCAATGTTGCCCGAGGGCGTCAGCCCCAGGCCGCCGATCAGGCCGGCGCAGGTGTCCGACATGATATCGCCATACAGATTGGGCATGACCAGCACATCGAACTGAGTCGGATCGTCGACGATCTTGAGGCAGACTTTACTGATCGCCGCCTCCTCGTACTTGATGCCATTCTTGTCCAGCTGATCCTTGTACTTCTCGTACACCTCGCGCACACAATGGATGAACAGTCCGTCCGACATGCGCATGCTGGAGCGCTTGTGCACCGCGGTGATCTTCTTGCGCTTCATGGCCAGGGCGTACTTGAAGCAGTAGTCGGCGACACGCATCGAGGCGGGCCGCGTTATCAGCTTGATGCTCTGGACCACGCCATTCACCAGCTGATGCTCAATGCCCGAGTACTCGCCCTCGGTGTTCTCGCGTATGGTTATCACGTCCACCTTGCCGTAGACCGTCTCGACGCCATCCAGCGACTTGCACGGCCGTACATTCGCGTACAGGTTGAAGAGCACGCGCAGGATTAGATTCAGCGAACGAAAGCCCTTGCCCACGGGCGTCATCAGCGGTCCCTTGAGGCCCAGCTTGGTGCGCTGCATGCTGTCGATCACCTCTTGCGGTATCGACTGCTTGCCGTCCTTATCGAGCGTGGGCGTCACGTCGACCGCCTCGAATTTCAACGGTGCTCCAGCTGCCTTGAGCACCTCGATCACGGACGCCGCTATCTCCGGCCCGATGCCATCGCCGGGCATCAGAGTTATAACACGTTCGCCACTCCCAGCTTTCCCACCGCCCGCGCCAGCAGCACCCGCACCACCACTGGCAGCACTATCGCCGCTGGCACCGCCGCCGGCGCCGCGGCTGCCTTCTGGCTTTTTGTTGCATGTGTCCGACTTGGATGCCTGCGCCTGTGACACCAAGCCGTACAGCACTTCATCTCTCAGTGGTTCGCCTTGCTCGCGCACCTCGGGCTGGTTGGCCACACTGAGCAGCACTTCGGGTGCCCAAGGCTCGCTCGGCTGGCTGCTGGCCGCCTCGGAGAGCGCAAGCGGCGTCTGAACGGGGTATTGATCGGAGACACTGTGACTCTGAACCTCAACTGGGGCAATCGCCAGGAGTCGTCTCTCGCGCTGCAGTCGTCGGGGGGCAGTCGGAGGCCGTCGCGCAGGCAGTTGGCTGTCGTTGGCAGCACATCGGCGCGAGTTTCGATTCGGGTTGGCCTCGAAGCGACTCTGGGATGTGAGTAGGGCTAGATGTCTTTTGAAATAACTAGACCTAGCTGCAATCACGGCTGATCTACGGTCGTAGTAGCTCAGGCCCGACTTGCTGCTGACTAACAGGCGCTCACCATATAATTTAGAGCAGTCAAACAATTGACGAAACATGTCCAAAATATGTATATAATTTTATAGGAAATTTTTCAATTAAAAAAAAATAAAAAAAAAATCAGACTGTTTAAATAACAATTTTTGACTGAAAACAGAGTTCGCTCGACAAAGTGATTGAAGCTAGCCAGGCTAGAGGTTTAGGGCAGCAACATTTTGTTTGCTTTGCGGGAATACCGCTACCACTGTGCTGAGGACGACATTTTAAATAATTCATTTCATGGTGGCAGTCAACACTTGGCCAAGCAATTTGCATAGCTTTTAGCCAAACGTCTTATGCATTCGCTGGCTAGTTTCGCTTTTGTTTGGCGCCTCGAAACTTTGGCGACTGGCACCGCCAATAAAATGACGAAGAAGAAGAAGAGGAAGAAAATGGAAAGAAAAAATGAGAGAAAAACTTTCACAAATGCAAACACGCGACAAGGACAGACAGGAGGAGCGTCGCCTGGTAACCCTTTCGTTCTAGCGCGGAAATTATTTTCAGTTAAGTGAAAATATTATAGAGACTCGAGCAGCTGCTGCCACTGCTCCTCCTGCTCCTCCTGCTCCTCGTGCTGCTGTTGCTGTGATTCGTTTTTTGGGTTAAGAGTTAGCTAATTAAATTACTTTTTGCAACTGCAATTCCATTTGCCATTTGCCCAATTGCTTTTGGCTTTGAAGGTCGCGTATTTGCTTTACCGTTGCCTTTGCTTTTAATTGAAAAACTTGCGCGAAATGGAAAGCAGCACAGGGAACGGGAACCGAAATGGGCATGGGAATGGGGGCGTTAGTGGGTTAAGGGATTGCCACAATTTTGGTGGCATTTAATTATAGCATGAAATTAGCTGCGAAAGGTAATCAAATTATGCATAGCTACCTGCGGGGCGCACCTGCAAACGTGCACGCCACGCCCCAACGCCCATTGGGCTGTGACCGGCAAACTTTTCATTTTTCAAGCTGTTGTCATTTGGCATAATCATATTTCAACGGATTAGCATAATTTAAGCATACAAAATATTAATAATGAAAAGTGAATGGCTGTCGGCGTCGAGTTCAACACACACCAACACCAACACCAACACACACACACAACAAGCAGCCACGCCCCCAACCACGTTGACAATAATATTAAAATTTTTCCTACTGTTCTGCGTTAGGCCCGCTCGATGCTCTGAGGGGAGCAAACATTAAGTGCCCCTGCGTTTTTATTTGTTTCATTCGTATGCCCTTATAGGGGGTGTTCCTCTACAGAGTGTCTGTCATACACTGTTATACTGTACACCCAGCTGTTCTAAACTGTCAATGGCCACAAAATAATATATTTAGCTTAATATAAATCTGTTATACTCTGTTATACACTGTTATACTATATTTTCAGATGTTATATAATATATAAATGATGACATATGTGTAGCCTCAGTGTCTGTTCTGTGCTAGCTTGCACTCAGATTAGCTACTAATCTATGGGGCTGTTATACACTGTTATACTTTGTTGTCTGCTGTTATATGGGCTTATGGAAACGCTACCATATATCCTCTGAGATGAGGAAATAAGATTTGTATCCCTGGTTTATACCAGGGATTACTCAACTTTCACTTGTTATATATGTATACTGTTATACTACTCACTTGACTTTTATATGAGTTTAAAATGAATTTTAATCCACATAAGTATTTCTCAGATGCCCTTTAGATGCCTAGTTGTTACACACTGTTATACTAATATATCTCTAGATATATGACAGTTGAATCGACCTATCTGAGCCACATCTAAGCTTTTCTAGTATGTGCCTCACTTAAGGCTATAAAACGCATATTTCCTTATGCCAGCTTCTTTCTTATCTTTGATCTAACTCTGGCTAAGTAAGGGTATTCCATCTTTCCCACACCGCTTGCCATGATTATAAGCTTGTCTGTATTTTTTGTTTAAAAGCATTTATATTCATATTTGGTAATATATCTGACGCTCCCGCGCCTTTGCATGTTTTGTTTTTTATTTCTTCTCTAGCGTGGGGGTAGCTTTTTTTATTGTGTTTCCCTTTTAGTTGGTGTTGGTGTTGGCGTTGAGCGCCTCGCAATTGTTGTTAAATGATTGATGGTCTCTTGTAAAGGTCGCTCCCACACACACACACACACACACACACCGAGATACACATTACTTAAACAATATATTATACGATACGTATAAATATGTATATCGCTGTCAGCTGAGGCGCAACGCCAGGCTGTCTAGCTGGGCGTTAACTAACCGCTGAACCGATCCGATAGCCTCTCGGCATAGATAATTATTCGTTGTTGTCTGTTTGTTCCAGCGATAAGGGAAATACACACGAAATTGGTATAAATACGCACCTGCAAAACATAGAGCAAACAGAATAAAGAAATTAGTGGTTGGCACAGGAAAAATAGTTCAGCGAATACTTCTAGGAGAAAACAATGTAATGTATCTTCTGTTTGAGTGGCACACTAATATGTATGTATGTTGTGTGTGCTAGCTATAATTATGTACTTTTCTTATTAATTTTACGTGCTGTGATTTTCCCATATTAATTTGTTATTTATTTGCAACAAAAGTTCTGATAGTATATCTGTTATACACTGTTATACACACAATATTGACAGCTGTTATATAGACAGAAAACAGCAAGCACACATGAGAAACTACACTTGGGTAAATTTGCATTTCTTAGCACATTCTGGTCAAGCTTATATAACCAATCTATATGTCGAAGCATATCTGGCTGGCTCTTCTTCGTCTTCTTCTTCGTTTTCATGTTCGCCATGCTCGTGTTAAAAAATCAGTTTAGTGTGTATATCTCAGCGAAGACGCACAAAAGTATTTTTAACAGTTTTTGTTTTCTGTTTACATTTACTTCATTTAATGTTTAGATTTGCGCTTAGTGTGCGAAAAAGAAACCAAAGTCAATAAACCGTCTAAATATACAGCAAAAAAAAGGGAAAAAAGAGAAAATATATATAAATATATATATAAGAGTGTATATATATATATCTATAACATATAAAGTCGAGTGTATGTGCTTTAAGGGTGGAGCTGCTGAAAATTGAGGTGCCGAGAGTTTGCAAGTGGGGTGTGTGTGTGTGCGTGTGTGTTGTGTGGTGCGTGTGTGGCATTTGGTAGGTGGATGCTTTGGAATGAAGTTAGACAAGCAAACAACACACACACACTCACACAGCTTTGACTTGGCTGCGCAAAAAATTGAAATCTGCTTGAGTTTCATGTTGTTAAAAAAAAAAAGAAACGAAATGAAGAACGAACGAAATCATTCAAATATTTGCGATTGTTGTTGTTTATGTTATGATTGTTGTTACTGTTGTTGTTGTTGTTGTCGTTGTTGTGGTAACAAGACGCCACCAACGCCATATTAACACTGGCTTTGCTGGCCATTTATGAAGCCAAATACAATTTGCTCGCCTTGCTGCCTGTCTGTCTTGCCGTCTTGCCGTCTCTCCGTCTTTCTGCCTTTTCATGTCGCTCTTTTGTGCTGACCAATTCAATGTTTGACTTTTTGTTATTCTCATTGTTGTATCTCGTCTGAAGTTGATTTATGTGCCCTTAGGTGGCAAATAATTGATTTATGCGTCGCGTTGATTGTGCAATACGACGCATGCAGAGCAAACACACACACACACACACACACAGGTACACGCTGAGCTGATAAGAACAGAAACGGGAACTCTATCTCTAAATGGCAAATGTGAAAGCAAATATGCCAAAGCACTTAGAGCAAAGGCAACATAGTACGAGGTGCTAGAAAGTAATTAGATAAAGATAAAGTGAACTGAACCGATAGATAACCGAACGACACCTTCAAGCTGGGCCCATCTGGGTCCGAATGTGTCTGATATGACAGCTGGGCATGCACAGCTATAAGTATAACACTAATAATGCGAGTTGTAATCTACAGTGAGGCATAACTAATACAGATAGAGTTGAAGCGGAAATGCTTGACTGTAGGTGCCGACGATGCTGTCCACACACAGACACACACACTTCAGTAGGCATTAACCTTTTCATGAGTATGAATCAAAAGCCAGTGAAGAACCCAAAAAAAAAGAATGAAAGAATCCGTTGACGCTTGTATAACTCTCATGCCCACTCCACATGCCCGAGTTCATTGGAAAACGACGATTACGCGGCACAAAAGGCCATGAACAAACAATGAAGCCAAGCCGTGTAGGTAACACAACTGGAGCTGCATCATCGCCATCAGAGTAGGCGCAAGGGGTGTGGCATTGCATAAGCGAGAGACATTGACCAAGCCGAATCGGCTAAAATGACTGGAAAATTGTATCAAAGAGATAGAAAGAGAGGGGGCGAGATAGACAGCGTCTTCAGCTACACTTGCAGGCAACTCAATTGCTGTCTGCAAGTTCTTGCATTTGTTTGTTTGATAAATTTACTTGTGAAATGCTTAAAAATAGCTACAAGCAAACACACACACACACAGACACAGTGTGAGTCTCGGCAGACGTTGCAGGTACAAGCGTGAGATACAAATGTATCTACTACCTGTCAGTTAGCTATTGCTGCCGCTGCCGCTGCTGCTGCCTCTGCACAATTCACACGTTTTATATGCTCTGTGTACCTGAGCATCTCCCATATATACAAACATACATATATACATATATGGAATATGTTTATGCCTTTGTATAGGTGAGCACTAAATATTTAATTACGTATACGCACACTCAGCCGCAGTCGTAGTCGTAGTCGTATCTATAACTTATGTTTACTGCGCTTTATGACTTCGACTTTATCTGGCTGTCTGTCTGTCTGTCTGTGCTCTGCTCTTATCAATGCAGCCGCGCTATCTCTGCTGCTGCTATCTGCCACCACACCTGGCCAGGTACTACAACAGCCCGTTGACAACTTCCTTTTGGACACACTTGTAGCTCGGCTTTTTAATTGCCCAACATGAAATCTGGTCGAGGCAACGGCTTACCTTTAACCCGCAGGCATGAATGAAACAGATAAAAAGCTAAGCTACACGGTTTTCTGTCGTTGCCAACAATTGTCGCTGCCCGAATTCTTGGAATCCGCCACGAGATGAATAA